GATTCCGTCTTTCATTTGTCTGATTTGTAGTCCAAGAATGTAGTTGAGCTCTCCAACCATACTCATCTCAAACTCCTTTGTTATTGTCTTAAGAAACTCATCCACCAATGCCTTTAAGGTGCTTCCAAATATAATGTTGTCTACATATACTTGTACGACGAGAAGGTTTCCTTCTTGATGCTGCATGAATAAATTATTGTCAACTCCTCCTCTGTTGAATCCAGCCAAGATTAGAAACTATGCCAATCTTTCATACCATGCTCTTGGAGCTTGTTTCAAGCCATCGAGGACTCTTTTCAATCGATAAACATGATTTGGAAAGTGTGGATCCTCAAAGCCTTTTGGTTGAACGGCATAGACTTCTTCTTTCAATACGCCATTGAGGAAGGCGCTCTTGACATCCAACTGATATAGTTTGATCTTGAGTATGCATGCTATGCCAAATAGAAGTCTGATTGACTCAAGACGAGCCACATGAGCAAAATTCTCATCAAAGTCGACTCCCTCAATATGCGAATAGCCTATACCCACTAGTCTTGATTTGTTCCTAACTGGATTGCCATTCTCGTCAGTCTTGATCTGGTATATGCACTTAGTTCCTAAAACGTTTACACCCTCTAGCCTTGGAACCAGATCCCAGACTTGCAATCTCACGAACTGCTCCATTTCCTCATGCATCGATACTGTCCAGAACTCATCATCTAGAGCTTCTTGAATGTTTCTCGGTTCTGTCTGAGAGATGAAACCGTCAACGTTAGCCATTTCTGAAATGAAAAAATCTAGTTTAACCATCTCTTTTAAGTCAATATGCTTCTTCCGTGTAACTCTTGGATCAAATACACCATCGACGACATCTTCTGATGAATTATTTTTTTGAACCTTGACTGGTTCTTGTGAAGTGTCTTCCTCTGGATCAACTTCTTTCATTTGATTAGTTACACTATTTTCATCAAGTATGCTGGGTTGTGGTACACACACACACTTCTTTGAGTAACACCTTCTTGATGAAAGCCGACTCGATCATCGTACGCAACGTTCACTTTATCATCAATGGTTTTGGTCCTTGAGTTGTATACTCGAAATGTCGTGTTGTTTGTTGAGTACTCAAGAAACCTGTCTACATCACTTTTGGATTAATTTTCCAATATAGTCTTTGTCGTTTAGGATGTAGAAAAGGCACCCACCCAAAGACATGACAGTAGCTGAGATTAGGTGTTTTCCCTTTAAGTATCTCCTAAGGAGTTGTCTTCGTTTTTGGCTTCACATGCACTCTATTAATGCTATAGCACGCAGGTTGATAGCTTCAGCCCAATAACCATATGGTACATGATTTCCAGCTAGCATGACTCTTGCCATCTCTTGCAGTGTCCGATTCTTCCGTTCTACAACTCTATTTTGTTGAGGGGTTCGTGGTGCTGCGTACTGATGTTGAATACCTTGATCTTGACATAACATGTCGAATTGATCATTATGGAATTCTCTTGCATGGTCACTTCTAATTTGCAAAATTCTGCATTTTTCTTGTTTAAGTTGAGTGCCAGAATTCTGAAACTCTCATTTGCATCGGACTTGTTCCTTAAGAATCTTATCCATGTAAACCTGGAAAAAATCATCAACTAACACAAAAATATATTGCTCCCCAACAATACTTTCAGGTGAAATATGACCCATAAGATCCATATGAATAAGCTCTAGAACATATTTAGAGTTAATTTGAGATACCTGCTTGTGTTGAACTTTGCCTTGTTTACCTTGGCAGCAGGCACCACACATGGTGTCAGCTCTTTCCATGCGTCCAAAGCCTTGATTTTTTCCACCATCCCGAAATATTACTCTTCCTTCCTTAATTTGTTCTGTATTTTTCAAGCATTTCTGATTTCCAGTCATGTGCTTTGAGCAGCCACTATCGAAATACCATGAGATATCCGTTACATTATGATCTTCTATGGAGGTGAAAGAAACTTTAGCAATCTTATCAGAAAAGCTGTTATAATCGGTTACACACGACTCTTCAGTGAATTCTTCTTCAACATAGTCTTGTATAACCGCCATGTTGCATACAAATTCCTTGTCTGGTCTCTAGTTAGCTACTTCTTGTTGAACTGCTTTAACAGGTGTTCGTGACCTGTTCCTGAAGTTAGGATAGAGATCCGTCTTAGCAATCGACATGTAGCCAATCCTGCTTGGTTCAATGTAGCATCTATGCAGTTCCGAGGCTCGTTTGTACTGAGTTCTTCAGAAGTAACAATAAGCAACCCCGTGACTGTGTTTCCCACAGAAGTGACATCCATTTCATATAATTGGAGTGAATTTCCTTTCCGTTCTGTCAACAGATCTCTGAAGTAATGCTCCAGGTTCATGTTCTGGAAGATGAGTCTGAGCTTCACTTCTGACAAACCTAACATATGTTGAGACATTGTTGTTAGAATTGCGATTTCCTAGGTACCGAAGTCCAGAGGTTATCTTCGGGTTTTTCCGAGTGAAAGAATGTGATCTATAGTGTATGATCAAGTGTTGAGCATTCTCATCTTCTTGTAGTTTTCACTTAGTCCTCTCTGCAGTAACTGGATTTTCTCAAGTTCCTCATTTAGCAACACCTTGGTTTGATCCTACTTAGTTTCCAAGTTCTTTAAGGTGTAGGCCTGATCAGAGATTGTTTTTTCGAACATTTGCAGCTCAACTTTCTTCTCTCTCTAAGATGTAACCGTACTCGTCTTGACTTCAACATCAAGCAGTTCTAACTCCAGAATGTTGACTTGTTCTTTGAGCATTGCCATGTCTTTGATCAATTGTAGATTCTCTAGACTTAGCCATGTGAATTTGTTGAAGAGATTCTGAAATTTAATCTTAAGATCCAGTGTTTTCTTCTCTTCTTCATCATTAGTATCTGAATCTGAGTCTGAACTTGAAGAATTCTCTTGAGTGTCATCTTGTCCCACAAAGGCCACAAAGTTCAGCATAGGTTCTTCATTCTCACTTTCACTGTTTGATTCTGTATCACTAAAGGATTAGTAGTGCCTTGTCTTTCTTCAGATTGTTAAGACATTCACCTCTGGTATGTCCAAAGCCTTAACACTCAATGCACTTAAGCTCCTTCCTCTTGGCTAGAGGACATTAATTTAGAAAGTGACTGAAACTCTCGCATTCATGAAACTGCAGTTCTTTTTTACGAGTTCCTCTTCCAAAGTCAATTTTTTTTGTGTTGTCTAGATGAACGATCACTATCACTGTTCTGAAATCTGCTATTGCTTCGATTGTTTCCATTTTCCACTCTCTTGATCATCTTGTTGAAGTTCTTGGCCATGAGACTCATGTTATGTTCTATGTGTTTCACTCTATCTTCTTCTTTAGTTTATGCAGCAAACGTTATACATTTATGTCCCTTAGTAGTCTCTTCATCTCGTTCAAGATCATGTACCTTCAGAATTCTTGCCAGCTGATCTAACTTCATCTCATGGCAATCTTAAGCACTGCCTTATATGCCTCGAATCTTAGAGGAAAACATCGTAAGACCTTCTTCACAAGCTTCTTCTCATTATACTTCTTTCTAAGAACTGAGGCTTCATTTGTAATTGAGCTAATCTTTGATATGAAACTTTCAATTGACTCATCATCCTCCATACGCAGGTTTTCAAATCTTGAAGCAAGATGATCAATCATTGTTCTTCTTACACTCGTGTTTCCTTCGAAGTGACTGATAAGAGTGTCCCAAGCATCCTTTACAGATTCACGTCCTTGTATGATCTTAAACTGGATAAGATCAGCAGCATAAAAGATGGTTGTGAGCGTCTTTGATTTAAACTTTGAGGCAACTTTATCAGAGTCATTCCACCTTTCCTTTGGCATAGGTGCTTTGGACTTTTCGTCTATCACTATAGTTGTTGTAGTCCATCCTTGTTCTATAGAAGTCCAAGCACTCTCATTAATGGTTTGTATGATATGATGCATCCTTGCTTTCCAGTGCCGAAATTATCTTCATCGAACATGATAAGTTTTTGCAATGCTCAAGTTCTTTCATGGTTTCCATGATTGTCACATGATCTCAACCTATAAGTAGATATGTATATCTACAGAGGTGAATAGTGATACTAACACGTTCACCTATTAAAAAAGAATTATACATTTACCTAATTTCTATTCATAATTTGTATATTTATTTCATTGAACCTAAATTCTATGACCTTTATCATTTTACATCCATTGAACCTATATTTTAAAACCTTCCTATCATTTTACATCCTTTAATTTTATTTAGAAGCCTATGTAATAAAATAAAACTAACGCAAAACGTTAAAAGAGAATAAGTTAAACATATTAAGAGCACCCCATTGAAGGTTCATGGGGGGAGTTCACACGGAAATCAAGAAAAAAAAATAATAAAATAATAAAAACTTATAAACCCCTCTCTCCTAAAGTTCACCCCGGTGAACCCCTCTCTCCTAAAGTGAACCCCTTTCTCCTGAGGTTCAACACGTGGCGGTTCGGGATTGGTCTAGATCTTTTTTTTATTCTTTTATTTTTTTTAAAAAATAAAAAAAAAACAAAAAAATTTTAATAATAAAAAAATGATTCAGTGAACCCCTCTTCATTGATGTGGATGCTCTAACCTTTTTGTTTTAACAAGAGAAAGTATAATAATAATTGTTTTTTTAACATTTTTGTTCCTCGTGATAGTCTTGATTCGATTCTACTTTCATAAAAGAAGACTTCACGATCCCACATCTCCACACATATACACATATTGACTCATATACTGACAGGCTTTCCATCTCTTTCTCCCTCATTTCTCTCTCTTCAAGTTTTCGCTATCTTCCTCACTCTATCTCTCTCACTTCAACCAGAAAACAGATGTGTTCATGCCCGAAAACCAGTTCTGGTTGTCAGCAAACCCTATTGATCTACGAAACCCACTTCTTGTAAAACAGACAAAAGAAGAAAATCGAAAGATTCGTTTTTTTATCTAGTTTTTTGTTCTCTATCTGTCCCTCAAATATCCACCAATGGCAGCGGTTTCGTTGATTTTAAGTTGTTTCGTCTCGATTTTGCTGTTGACTGAGCGAGTTAACTCAGAGTCACTCCAGGAGAAACAAGCACTCCTCGCCTTCCTTAAGCAGGTTCCTCACGAGAACCGTCTTAAGTGGAACGAGTCAGACTCAGCCTGCAACTGGGTTGGAGTGGAATGCAACTCGGACCGGTCTTCCATCTACTCTCTCCGGTTACCAGGTACCGGTTTAGTGGGTCAGATCCCATCCGGATCGATAGGGAAACTGAGTCAACTCCGAGTTCTTAGTCTTCGGTCTAACCGTCTCTCGGGTCAGATCCCTCCAGATTTCAGAAATCTCACTCATCTCCGGAGCCTATATCTACAACATAACAAATTCTCCGGGGAGTTCCCGGCGAGTATTACACAGCTAACAGGCTTGATTCGTCTCGATATCTCTTCTAACAACTTCACTGGACCGATTCCTTTTGCAGTCAACAATCTCACTCTCTTGACGGGTCTCTTCCTCGGAAACAACCGATTCTCCGGGAACCTTCCGAGCATCACTGCCGGTTTAACCGATTTCAACGTCTCCGACAACAACCTAAACGGTTCTATTCCTTCTTCATTGTCTAAATTCCCCGCCGCATCGTTCACAGGAAACGTAAATCTCTGTGGTGGTCCGTTAAGGCCTTGCAAATCCTTCTTCATATCTCCATCTCCCTCTCCGTCGTCATCGGATGCTCCCTCACGTTTATCCGGCAAGAAATCAAAGCTGTCCACGGCGGCTATTATTGCAATCTCCGCAGCGAGCGCGTTAGCAGGTCTTCTTCTTCTATTAGCTCTCGTTTTATTCTTCTGCTTAAGAAAACGACGAGGAAGTCGAAAGGGACAGACGAAACCGAGGGAGACAACGGGAAACGTCCCTGCCACAATTCCTCCGGCGGGAGCTTCGTCGTCTAAGGATGTTACAGGGACATCATCCGGAATGGGAGAGAGGAATAAGCTTGTTTTCACGGAGGAGGAGTTTACAGTTTCGATTTGGAAGATTTGTTGAGAGCTTCAGCGGAAGTTTTGGGTAAAGGAAGTGTAGGGACGTCGTATAAGGCGGTGTTAGAGGAAGGCACGACGGTGGTTGTGAAACGCTTGAAAGATGTGGCGGCGTCCAAGAAAGAGTTTGAATCACAGATGGAGATTGTTGGCAAAATCAGACACCCGAATGTTGTTCCATTGAGAGCTTATTATTACTCAAAAGATGAGAAGCTTCTTGTCTTTGATTTCATGCCCAATGGAAGCCTCTCTGCTCTTCTTCACGGTTTGTGTCTTAAAGCTCTCATTGCTCTGTTTTTGTTTAAACCATCTAAATTCATCCGTAATGCATATTACATAAGTTGTGTGAATATCTACTGAACTGTCGCTAGTGTGAATTTCTACTGAATTGTAACAACATTGTGTGTACCATGTGAATTTCTTGTTTGGTTTTGCCGACTAGGTATTTGGTTTTCATTTTTTTTGTTTGTTTTTAGATTCACATCTTTATTGTCCAGAACTGATTACATACTTGCAGCTGGTTGATGCTTGGAATGAAATGAAAGCTGAGTGGTGATTGGATTATGATCATATTTTTCTAATGGATACTTTCGACATGTTCTGTGTTTTATGCTTTGCTGTCAAGAAAAACATTCTTATTTCTCTGTCGTAAAAAAATTTCTTATTTTATTTGTGAGTGTGGCATATAGCTGTAGTTGTTCTGCAAATATTATTAAAAAAATAATAAAAAAAGGAAGCTGCCGACATTACATGCGTCTGTCTGGTAATTGTCATAATTTTTGCTTCTCTCTCACTCTTTAAAGATGACAGAGAATTCAAAAAAGAGAAATACTCTTTTCTTCCACATGGGCTCTTTATCATCATCGTCATATATTATTCACTCTTTCCTTGAAGTAAACTTTTGTCCAAGTAGAGTATTTTGAGATCCCATGAACTGAAAGTGCATTTTCAATTTGAAGCTCCAAGCCAAAGTTAGCATGAGAATTATAACGTTTTAGTATCAAATTTGGATAATACTATGAACGTTTCGTGGCGTTTTGTAGTTAACTTGCAATATCTGGCTAACAGCGCTGTGTTGTGTTCAGGGAGCCGTGGATCGGGACGAACTCCGTTAGACTGGGATAACCGTATGAGAATAGCAATAACTGCAGCGAGAGGTTTGGCACATCTTCATGTTTCAGCCAAATTGGTACATGGAAACATCAAAGCCTCAAACATACTACTACAACCAAACCAAGACACCTGCGTCTCTGACTATGGACTTAACCAACTGTTCAGTAACTCAAGTCCACCAAACCGTTTGACGGGTTATCATGCTCCTGAAGTTCTCGAGACACGGAAAGTAACTTTCAAATCAGATGTGTACAGTTTCGGGGTGTTGCTGCTTGAACTGTTGACTGGTAAATCACCAAACCAGGCATCACTTGGTGAAGAAGGCATTGATCTACCTCGGTGGGTACTTTCTGTGGTTAGAGAAGAATGGACCGCTGAAGTATTCGATGTTGAGCTGATGCGATACCACAACATTGAGGAAGAGATGGTTCAGCTTCTTCAAATCGCAATGGCGTGTGTCTCTACGGTTCCTGATCAACGACCAGTAATGCAGGAAGTGCTGAGAATGATTGAGGATGTGAACAGAAGTGAAACAACCGATGACGGGTTAAGGCAATCGTCTGATGACCCATCAAAAGGATCAGAGGGTCAGACTCCTCCAGGGGAATCAAGGACCCCACCACGTTCGGTCACGCCTTAGTAATTGAAAGCAGCTTTAGTTTGTGTGTGGTCACTTCCTCCTCAAAAGGAGATAAAGAAAAATGAGATAGAGTGTGTGAGGTCTTCGTTGGGTTACGGTAAAGCAAAAAGGCTGGGCCAGTTTGGTATTTGAACCAAGTCTAAAAAGATGGCATCTCGCATCTATTTTCTTCTTGAATTTTTTTTTTTTAAATTATATTTCGAGATATTCCAGTATGTAGTTACTTTTCTTTTTTGTTATTTGAATTTTGTGTTCACAGGTTTCAATCAAAACTCAATCTAAACCACGTTGCACTTTATAAGAGTATAGGTTACTGAACACAATGGCGGGCCCAGGAATATTTTTTACTTGGGTCATGGTTTGTACTGAAAGAGTGCAGAAAGAGGTCATTTGCATAAAACACCAACAAAAATCAACAAACTAGGTAAAAAACGGTAATATCATCTGCATCTTAGAAAATCATCTCTGTTGGTATCAAAAACGGTAATCTCTTAATCAAGTTCTACGATTATTGCTGTTGAGATCAAAATCGTTACTTTCCGCAAAAATAAAAATACGTTCTATAAAACACGAGAAGTTGTTTTATAAAATGCTAAGGACTTTCTGAAACAAAGGAAATCTGCGGAAAACTTGGAAATCGTCATCTCGGAAGAACGAACGAAACAATCGCCGATTACACGATGGCTCAAGTTAAGCAAAAAACCGCATCCACCGTAAACCGCGAGCAGGTTCGACCAAACCAGTTCAACGTACGACGAGCCGAACCAGCCGGATCAGCTCGCCGTACGGCGAACTGGTCGGTCCCGGACCAGCTCGCCGTACGGCGAGCTGGTCGCCTCAAAGTAACTCGCCGTACATCGAGTTGACCGTCCCGGGCCTCGAACTCCCACATTCTTGACGCAAGGCATATGTCCTTCGGTTCGATCATGCTCTGAACCATGGTCGAAACGTCTCTCATTTCGTCTCGATACGTTTTATCGTCAAGTTTTACGATAAAAATCGTAAAAGTCTTCTTTTCTCGTAAAGTTCGGGAAGATCGTATAAAACGGCAACGTTTAAACGGAACATCGTACATTGCCAAACTGTACGATTAACTCGGGAAATCTTATAAAAACGGCATCGTATCAGGAAACGATCTCGTCTAAAATCGTAAAACGGGTTTTATCGCAAAACGGCTCGGACATCCTAAAAGCGCGATAAAAACTCACTTGCGACTTAAAACGAAATCCCGGTTAAAGACGCAATGATGGCTTGACGATTTACTCGCAGAAAGAAGATAAATGTCAAGTTTAAAGAAAAATGTCAAGTTTGAAGATAAATAGAAGATTTCCGCAAGAAAAAATGAAAGATCGAGAAAAATGGAAGATTCTCGATAAACTCGAATCTAGGCGAAAAGGAAGGACTAAACCGCCTAAGGAGGGAGTATATAAGCAGAAGGCAGAGGACATAAACAGAGGACGAATTCTAGATATAGAAAGATGGCTGTTAGCTTAGGCGAATTTAGGACTTAGGTGGCTATACTAGCAAGTTGGATCCTTAGAACGTTTTCTCGTCTAAGTTCCGCGATTCTCTTTGTAACAGCAGTCAATCTCTTTATCAATAATAGCTTTTATGCAAATTCTTTATCTATACTCTGTTCGTCGATATTCTGTTAATCTCTTTCGTTTTAGTGGTTTCTGCAGAGATCCAGGACCTCATGAGAATTAGGGTTTTCCCTAAGTTTCCATATTTGACGGAAAATTGATAGTGCGAATTTTGGTTCCCACAGTTTGGCGCTAGAAGGAGGTGGGTCGGATTCTCTTACACAATAACTGCTAAAACGAACGAGAAGAGATATGCCTAACTTAAACGGTGACATCATCTCGTTAAAGGAAAGAGCAATGATCGATTCGATCAAACCTCTCAGCGATCTTCTTGTCATCGAGCTGACGATCCATAATATGGATATTGCAAGGATATTAGTCGATACCGGAAGCTCGGCTGATATCATCTTCAAAAACACTCTCGAGAGAATGGAAATCGATCTGTCTAAAATCGTGGAAAACGCAAGCCTGCTAGTAGGACTCTCAGGAGAAATCACCATGACTCTCGGCACGATCAACCTTACGGCTCGAGCCAAAAGCGTAGTCAAGAACGTCAAATTCCTAGTCGTCGATGGGCCGATGTCCTACAACGCAATCGTAGGAACACCGTTGTTGAATTCGATGCAAGCGGTACCATCGACGTACCATATGTGTCTCAAGTTTACGACTCCGAGCGGAATCGAGACCATTTGGGGAAATTGGAGAACCTCGCAAGTTTGCTATGCCGCGGATTTAAAACAGAAAAATCTGTCGGCTGACGCTCTTTCCAAAAAGAAAAACAAATTGTCTGCCCTCGACAACGCCCCAGAACTAGATAAAACGAAAATGTTTTGGCAGTTGCGAGCAGCCGAGGCGCTGGTAGGTAAACGCGAGCCTACCTGCGAACCTGTCATCTCGGTATGCATCGATGAAGCCTTCCCAGAACGCTGCATCGAGATCGGTGCGAACCTGAGCTAGACCTTGAAAACTGAGCTTCAGACTTGTCTGAAAAGAAACTCGAACACATTTCCATGGACTGCGGAAGACATGCCAGGAATCGACATTAACATCACATGTCACGAACTCAGTGTTGACCCAACATCCAAACCCGTCAAACAAAAAATACGGAAACTGGGGCCAGAACGCGCCGAAGCGGTCAACAATGAACTTAACTGACTCCTAAAAGTCGGATCGATCACAGAAGTTTGATATCTTGACTGGCTCGCTAATCTTGTCGTCGTTTAGAAAAAGAACGGAAAGTGGCGAGTTTGCTTCGATTTCACCAATCTCAATAAAACGTCCTGAAGATAGTTATCCGCTGCCGCATATCGATCGCTTAGTCGAGGCAACCGCAGGGAACAAACTCTTATATTTTATGGACGCTTTTTCGGGGTACAATCACATCATGATGAACCCTAGATATCGAGAGAAAACCGCATTCATAGCTGATCGTGGAACTTACTGCTATAAAGTAAAGCCCTTCGGCCTTAAGAATGCCGGTGCGACTTATCAACGACTCGTCAATCGCATGTGCTCCGAACAACTCGAAAAAACAATGGAAGTGTACATCGAAGATATGCTTGTGAAATCAGTCGAAGAGTGAGATCATGTCGTGCACCTCCAAGAATGGTTCGAGAGACTCAACCTTCATAACATGAAGTTGAATCCTGCGAAGTGTCGGTTTGCCGTCGCATCTAGAGAATTTTTAGGGTATCTCGTCACTTACCGAGGGATTGAGGCCAACCCGAAACAAATCACGGTGCTGATAGAAATGGTATCCCCTAGGACAAAACGCAAAGTACAAAGACTGATCGGCAGGGTCGCAGCACTTAACCGCTTTATCTTGCGATCAACTGACAAATGTCTTCCTTTCTACGAAACATTGAAGGGAAACACAAAGTTCGAATGGTCCGAAGAATGAGAGAAAGCTTTCCAACAGCTAAAGCATTACCTAGCTACCCCGCCAGTACGCGAAACCCGTAGAAGGAGAACCACTATTTCTCTACAACGCGGTATCGACGACCGCCGTAAGTGGTGTCTTCATCCGAGAAGAACGCGGCGAGCAAAAGCCGATCTTTTACGTAAGAAAGAAACTACTAGACGCAGAAACGCGATATCCGATGATGGAAAAATTGGCATTGGTGGTGGTCATGTCGGGAAGGAAACTGAGACCATATTTCCAGTCTCATACTATTGTCGTACCCACTTCTTTCCCTCTCCGCACAATTTTGCATAGTCCCAGCCAATCGGAAAGATTAGCAAAATGGGCAATCGAGCTGAGCGAGTACGACAGTGAATATCGCGCAAAGACTTGCGCAAAATTGTAAGTGCTCGCAGACTTCTTGGTAGAACTCCCGACGGGAGGCACGCCTGACCAAGAGCCGAACTCGACCTGGATCCTATACGTTGACGGATCCTCATCTAAACAAGGCTCCGGGTTCGGCATCCGACTCGCATCCCCGACGGGAGAAGTTTTGGAACAATCGCTTTGATTGATTTTCCACGCTTCAAACAACAAAGCCGAATACGAGGCCTTGATAGAAGGATTGCGAGGCTCACGGTCTAAAGATTCGTAACCTCCACGCTTACTGCGATTCTCATCTAGTGGCTAGCCAATTCAGCGGGGAATACGAAGCAAGGGACGAGAGGATGGAAGTATACCTGACCTTGGTCAAGGACTTAACTCGGAAGTTCGATCAATTCGCCCTTACTAGAATTCCTCGAGCTGAAAACGCCCAAGCAGACGCCCTGGCCGCCTTGGCATCGAGCTCCGATCCTGGTTTGAGCAGGGTATTTCCCCTGGAGTTCATGAGAACACCCCAGCATCGGACCGCCCGTAGTCATAAACCTGATCAACGAACCGGAAGACGATATCGGCAACAACGATAACCGTCAAGCTGCAGATCAATCCGAATACGGATTCAGCCATCCATCGATGGAAACAATCCTCGCATACATAACCAACGGAGAACTCCCATCGGTAAAATGGGGGGCCCGAAAAGTAAAGACCTAGGCCGCACGGTACTTTCTGGTTAACTGAGAACTCTATAAGTGGAGATTCTCCGGACCACTTATGACTTGTGTGCAAGGGGAAAAAGACGGAATCTGGGGCCAGAACGCACCGAAGCGGTCAACAATGAAGTTGACTGACTCCTCAAAGTCGGATCGATCACAGAAGTTATATATCTTGACTGGCTCGCTAATCCAGTCGTCGTTAAGAAAAAGAACGGAGAGTGGCGAGTCTGCTTCGATTTCACCGATCTCAATGAAGCGTGTCCTAAAGATAGTTATCCGCTGCCGCATATCGAACGCTTAGTCGAGGCAACCGCAGGGAACAAACTCTTATATTTCATGGACGCTTTTTCGGGGTACAATCACATCATGATGAACCCTGGATATCGAGAGAAAACCGCATTCATAGTTGATCGTGGAACTTAC